AAGGGGACGGACTTTGCGACGGGAAGAAGGTGGATGGATGTGGGTGGAAGGAGTGGGGCCAGGTGTCAAGGTGGGCGGGGCTTGACAAAGGGCGACGAAAATTCATAACTCGGCTCCAAGAAGTCCCGGAGGCCGGGAAAAAGGTGGATGGAGGTGGGTGGAGGAGTGGAGGCCAGCTGTCATCGGTGGGCGGGGCTTGACCAAAGTGGGCGGAGTTTGCGACGAAAATTCATAACTCGGCTCCAAGAAGTCCCAGGAGGCCGGGAAAAAGGGAGTAGAGGTCGGCGAAGGAAAGGAGGTCAACTGCTATCAGTGGGCGGAGCGCGCACTAAAGTGGGTGGAGTTTGCCAAAAGTGTCGCAAATCAGTGGCTTTTTTTTTTCACAAGAAGTCTAGAGAACCGGGAAAAAAGGGGTAGAGGTTGGCGAAGGAGGGGCCAAATGCTATTGGTGGGCGGAGCACGCACCGAAGTAGGCGGAGTTTGCCACGAGATTTATTGTCCGGAAGCAGTCCGGAGACCGGGAAAAAGAGGATAATGGTTGACGAAGAAAAAGGGTTGAAAGCCGTCGATGATGGAGCGGATAGAATTTAGCTGAGAAGTCAGATATTCGTGGTGTATAAGGCCAAATACGAAAATTTTCGCCGCACCATCGAAAATTCGATGCAGATCTGTGTTGTGCGCGCAATGCGTGCGGCGCCAACTGGTACATATATAACAAAATGTTCCAGAGGTTGTGGGCTTTCGAAACATCATTCAGCCTGAACAAACTGTGGATATATTTCTCTGGTCAACATAATAAATTTTGAGCCACGAACTGGGCACGACCCTAGCGTGTAAGGTCTTATCCACGGTACCATCCACGATGTTCATGAGATCGTATCTGCCCTCCGACTTGCAGCTGGCGCCAACCGCTTAGGCCGCGTTCATAGTTCGAGACTCGGGAGATTATTATAGTAAGCGACAGGATATTAGGATAGTAGTAAAGAAGGAGATAGCGCTGCCAAGATTGGATACGTATCGATTGAAATCGCTGGAGAGTAGTAGATTGGGCGACTTCAGGCGAATAGATCAATACGTATCTTTATGTCAGCGCTATTATCCAACTAATACGTCTAATCTCCCTACTTTGTAATAATTATCACACTATCGACTAATATTGCAATCTATTACTCTCCAGCGATACCAAGGTTTACGGTGTCATTTTAGTCACCGCATCTCCTAACATCTACTTACTTATCTAATCTCCATTCAAGACATTATGTTTTTCATTGTTCGTGTACTAGATTCCTATTTCCGGGAGTCTGCCGAAACTTATGAACGCAGCACTTAATGCCTGCTTTTAAATAAAACTTTGGCGCGAACCTGTGGTTTTTGCCAGATCACGAAGTTATTACGCTGCTTGTCACCGCTTGAGGCAATGGATGCGATCCCTACTTTGAATACATAGAGCGCCAAGGCAGTGGCGTATCAGTCACGAAATTCGGTATGACCTGAAGAGGCGGATCTAGTTTGTGATGGGCGAGACAGGGTCATGAGGTACGAAACCCAAATAAGCTGGGCGGAGCTCCGTCGATGGTGGACAGGTATGGCCGGCATTATGAATACAGCTGAATTTTTGCTGGCTTATTAAAGGAGGATTTTACGATTAGAATGGAGGTCGAGGAAGAAGTAATTCACCTAGTTGAGTAACCCACGGACCTCCTGAGGGTGCGAACTGATGCGCAATTCGCATCGAAAAATTTGACCTCGGCGACCTATTATGCCTCAAAGTTGGCGGGTCTTTTTTTTTTTTCTTTTTTTTTGGTTTTTTGTTTGCGGAGTGAGATCTTGGCGATCTCCGCCCACCGACCAGCTGATCACTCGCCGCAGATCTATACGTGGGATTGATTAGATAGCAGAGAGAGCGTGATGTTGAGGAGGGCACAGCGATAAGAGTCGCATCAATGCGCAAATCAGCGGGGAGGAAGGGGTCCCATTTCTCGGGTTCTGGGCCGTTTCTCATGGTTCTTCCTTCTTTCGTGTACCAATCACCATCCTGAGTTAATTTGAAATGGGTTGCCTTTCCAGCGTGAATTCGTCCTTTAAGTAACACCACCGGGGTGATTGCGGCCACGTCCGCAACGCCTTCCGTCGATGGAACGAGCGAGCTAGCTTTTCTCATATGAGACTCGTTGGGCCGAAAAAAATGGTCTGAGAACTGAATGATAGCTCAGCTATGGTGAAAATGTGATGCAAAAAGCAATGTAAAGTACAAAATCATCTTGGAGCTAAACATGTGGTATCAGGGATGTCTGAGTTTTTGACGGTGCAAGCGACGATCCAGCCAAAGGCTTCTTCGATTTGCCACCACGCTGTCGCGTTACGGAACCCAACTTTTTGTTTTTGCACATAAATATGGCACCCTGTGTAGAAAATTAATACCGGAATCAATTTCGAAAGCTGTTGAAATTAAGGAAACTGAGGGGGACCTACCGCAGCGATGACCAGTCCAAGAACCGAAGGCAAAATTGAAGTAAGGGCGTAGTTGATACGAGTTCAGCATGCCATGGAGTGAGGCGAAATAGAAATTGATTTGCAAACCCCTTCTTCAGCAGAGAGGCAAGAAAAACCAGTTATACTTATCAAAAGGGGGGGAAAAAACATTGATAGTGAAGTGGAATCGCATATCAGTATAAACGGACTGAACCCTCCCAATTTTTGAGACAGAGCTCACGATGAAAAAGGCAGCTAGAAATCAAAGAAGAGGTGGTCAGCAGTGCAGGGATGAAGGAAAAACCTCAAGAAATGGGACCTCTTCTTGTATATGTGGCGAAGAAGCGAAAGTCCCTCACATTCACACGTTGACTCCCGCTACTTTTCCAACGGGGTTGCAGAACTGCAAAATATTTTATGTCTTTGAAAGCAACTGAATCCTGGTTCCAATAATCCATCAGCGAGGTGAATGATGTATTGTATAATTGGTTGATCTAGAAGGGCGAAGCGGAAGATGCGATTGCGAAAGGTAGCCTTGCATTTACACGACGGTTCTGTGGGATCAATTTCCATGCTGGTCAATTCCATTTAGTCCTGGCCTAGGGACTCAAGTGCTTCCAATCTATCGATACACATTTAAACCTGTGAAGGCAGAGGGAGACTGTCTAAGTTCAGTCCCCGGCGACCGCGCGCTAGAATACATCAATAAGGTCACTGCGCGCACGTCGTCCGACGTTGCTTGATATTTACATAGCAATGGCCTGTGCTTCCTAGAGGTATATTGTAACTTTGCACGTCAGCGTGCGTCCATTTCTGCATTTGGTTTTGCTTAGTACTTTAGCGATCACCACATTCCACTTAGTTAGGGGCAGCTGTAGCCGCGCAAGTGCCGGGACCGACTTTTTCGCTATGCGGCGGCAACCTCATGGGGAGCCTTGTCTCGCTCGCATCCTGAAGGCGAGGGTACGTGCAAATCCGTACTGCGCGGTGACGCACGTCGTCCATTACTTATGTTAGGGGAAGTGCGCACAAAAGTTGAGCACAGTAGTGTAGCCTACGTGAGAGCTCCTAGAGGATGCAAAAAACCGACTTGAGGAAGCGTTCTACACCTTGGACGACCTCGCTTGCAGAAAGGGAGTTGCTCCCTGAACGCGAAGGGGTGACCAGTCACAACACCGCAATCCCGTTTACAAGAAGAAGCAATCCGAGCACGATCTCGAACGTTTCGGGCGCAGATTGAAGGAGTCACATAGCTGAAATAAAACTAACATGATTCGAAGTGGTGTGCAGGGTGCCTCTTGGCGACAACTGGAGACGTTTCATGATAAAGAGCGCGTAATGTTTGCTAGTATCAATTGCTAGTACAGGCGGCATGAGGGACAAAATCATACTCGATTGCATAGCAAAGCTTCTCAGTTCGTCCTGACTTACAATGGCTTTTTAAATTCTATTAGTCTCAAAAACAACCATAGATGCACTTTTTGAAATCGTGTTAGATTACGTAAGGTCTCTGTGTGCCTCTCTCGAAGTTACCCTAAAATCCCATAGATAAGAGCGGTCCATAGATATTTTTTCAAAAATAAAATAAAAATAAAAATATTTTTTCAAAATCATTTTTTACCGGTAAATTAAACCGCTCTTATCTATGGAATTTTACTGATCGAATGGGCTCTTCAAGTTCTATCCAGAGATCAAATTCCGGCATTTCTAGAGAGATTCCGGCAGAAATTCCGAAAATCGCTATTTTTCTATATGAATTGTTTATTAAGTGGGCGGGGTTTAGAGTTGAGGGGCGGAGCTTCTTCTAAACTTCTTCTCCGATTTTTATTTATCCATCCATCAAGTTAGAGGGGTGACTGCATTCAATTTCAATTTCATTCCAATTCATTTTTCACCGGTAAATTAAACCGCTCTTATCTATGGGATTTTAGGGTATATTTATGCGGTATTTTTTTCTTCACAAAAATTTGCGCGCATGAACACAAACCAGACTATTTTCCTCATATTGGCTACACCTGAGCGCCCAAAACGGGTACCAACCTCAAACACCGCTGATTGAACATTTTTCTTCTCCCGCAACGTTAAAAGGACGAAGTGCACTTCGATTCGAGTCAGGCTCCCACGCAGACGAAGGGGGGGGGGGGAACAAGGGGTTGATTGCTTTGATGCTCACAGTACGCGGTCGCGTCAGTTATTGGCGGCGGCTATGCATTTTCTTTTTTCAATTTTTTTGTTATTATCATATTAAGTAAAGGAATTCTGCGTTGCATAATAGGTTCATTCGACAGATGAGCTCTCTTGTGAATTTCGTGATGTTGAAGATTTTTTCTATCTCTCAACAGCTGCGATCTTGCGGTTTTTTTTTTGTTATTGTTTCACATTTGATTTGTTGTTGTGTTAACATGCTAGTTATTGCCGTATAGTTGTCGAATCTCATGGCCCTTGTCAATGCGGTAATTAAATAGCTCATACGTCATCATTTCAGTCTCAACTGGGTGCACAAAATGCCTGAGATCATAGGTAAGTTAATGAAGCCCGATGGGTCGGTTACCACGGAATTAGAGAAGCAAGTTTCACAAGCGCTGGTTGATTTGGAAAGTAGTCAGGATATTAAGTCTCAGCTTCGTGAACTCTACATTGTAGGAGTACGAGGTGAAGATTTTTAGATTTGGTTTATTATTCTCATGTTTTGCTCATCGGTTACAGGTGAGATAATCGACCTCTGTGGACTTTTCGCTTGTGTAGAGCAAATAGGCGCGTTCACTAGCATCGCGATTATGCTTGTGACGATTAAGCCAGGTTTAACGATTTTGGAGTATACTCGATATCCGATAGTTGGGGTAGGTGTGGCACCGGATGTGACGTGTACTTGATAGAAGTTGCGTGGATAAGCTGTTGCCAGCATACATCGCTGGATATCAGCAAAGCATGCTGGAAACAGCTCATCCACGCAACTTCTATCAAGTGCACGTCAATTCCGGTGCCACACCTACCCCAACTTTCGGATATCGACTGTACGTTATGAATTTATAGCATTGTATTATACGAAGTTATTCGACATATCGCACGACGATGCGTCATTAGCAGGTGTATTCAATTAATAGTTTGTTTAGTCCTTGGAGATTTATTTGTATAACACTTTATCGACATAATTGCCAAGTGCTTGGATGAATACTTGTGTATTCCTACCAGCATAATCGCCAAAAATCGCAATAATCGCAATCTGTGAACGATACCATACGCCGCCAAAAGTGATGGTCAAGGTCAAGTTTTAGGCCCTGTTCAGAGATGTCCGCTTGCGCGAAAAAACGCATAGGCGAAACAATGTGAAATATGTATCGACTGAACGAAGACGCACAGGCGAATCGTGAAGTGGGAGGATCGACGAAAATGAGTATCATACGCATCGACTTACGAACGCTTCGCTCACGCGATTTTCCGCCTGTGCGTTTCTCACAGTCGATACATATCAAACTCTTGACTGAAATTCGCCTGCTCCGGACGTTTCGCTTACGCGTTTCACAATTTCTCAGTCGATGCGTATCTAAATCTTGGCGGAGATTTTCGCCTGTGCGTTTTTTCGCGCCGGCGGACATCTCTGAACAGGGCCTTAGTGACTGCGGCTTATACATTCGTTTATTTTTTGCGCTAATTAACACCTGTGATTTTGAATGGTATTTCTCAAAAGCTTTCGTTTGAATTCTCAATCTACAGACGCGTTATGTTTTACTTGGGGTTTTTCATTGTTGTGCAGTTCACATTTCACCGAGTTTCTGTTGTGATTTATCGTGACAAATTTGATGCATCACTTTTATACTTCTTATTTTTCTTGGCAACTGACAAGTTTCTGTTTTCAAGCCAGATGTAGTTGAGTGGTTTTGATCTGTGAATCTTTTCCTTTCTGTTTTCCCGAGTTTTGAATGATCGTGATGGATAGTCTTATAAGCACCCAAGGAAACCGGGAGTTAGTGCTTTGGCCAAGCACAAGGGGGAGAATGAGCTCCGGAGTTCTCACGAAATGGGAGAACTCCTTAGGCCCTGTTCAGAGTTACGGTGTACGCGAAAAAAAACGCATAGACGAAATAAAATGGAAATCTCCGCCAAGATTTAGATAAGCATCGATTGAGAAATTGGGAAACGCGTAAGCGAAACGTCCGGAGCAGGCGAATTTCAGTCAAGAGTTTGATATGTATCGACTGTGAGAAACGCACGGGCGGAAAATCGCGTGAGCGAAGCGTTCGTAAGTCGATGCGTATGATACTCATTTTCGTCGATCCTCCCACTTCACGATTCGCCTGTGCGTCTTCGCTTCAGTCGATACATATTTCACATTGTTTCGCCTATGCGTTTTTTCGCGCAAGCGGACATCTCTGAACAGGGCTTTAGACAACCGCGGAGCTCCGCCTTACCACATGAAGTAGTGGCGTTTCCTAGCTTTTTAGAACCCTTTGGCAATGGATTTCAGTAGCGTGCTTGACCTTTCAAGCGTAAACGCTCTTCCTTCAGTTAAACATCCCTATTAGGAAGGTTTACAAAAGCTACAATTCACAAGTGCCGGCTCCCAGACAATACCTAACCATTTGGGCGCGGCCGCGGCGAACGCGGCCGAGTCGATTGTGCCCGCGAACCGTTGAAAACGCACTCGAGGTGCCCGCGAACTGTGCTGTGCTGAGTTCGCGGGCACCTATCAACTCGGCCGCGTTCGCCGCGGCCGCGCCCAAATGGTTAGGTATTGTCTGGGAGCCCACAAGTGCCTTATCAAACCTTATTCAGCTTTTTAGTTCTGGTTTTTATTATCAACATCTCTTTAGGAAATTGAAATTGGAAACAAGTCAGTGATTGTTGTATACGTTCCCGTTCCGCAGCTTAAACAGTTTCACAAAGTGCAAGTGCGGCTCGTTCGTGAGCTTGAGAAGAAGTTTGGAGGAAAACATGTGCTCTTCCTGGCCAAGGTTTGTTTATACTCGCAGTTTCACTGAAATATCTACAAACTTTCTAATGCCGTCAATGTAATTTGCTCATAAGATCACGGGTTAAGTGAGAAAGCAGGCTAGTTATTGCAAACGATGCAACTTCCTTTTTATAAAGCGCTATTATTATCATAGCCATCATTGTATTTGCGTGCACACAAGAGGGTAAGTCGGAGCCACGCAGCATTTGAAATTTGTTTGATTTGCTTATTTTTGCACTTAAGTTGACTGCATTTTTTTGTTCTTTGTGTTTTTTTTTTCAAATATTGATTGTTACGATCTGAGGGGCCGTGAGCAAAAATTTGTACTCCTCTTTCATATAGTTGCAAGCTATAGGTTCCATATATGAAATTCAGTTCCTTATAAGGAACAAGCCTTCGGAAATCAATTTTGTGGACCCAGCCACGTGAGCGGAGCCAAAACAGTGCTTGGAAAGGAGGGGCAGCCACGTGTTAAGGCGCATTCATGGTCGGTCGTGCCGATCGTAGCGATCGCACAGTGTCAGATGCGTATCGATCGCCACAGCTGTTCAGATGCGTATCTGATCGTTCCAATCCTTCGGAGCACGTTGACGACTAGATACGCAATGCGGGCGGCTACTGCTGCCGATCGTATACAGTCGAGCGGCGCTATATGGTCAGGTTAGTGAGGAGCTGCCATGTTCAATGTCTGAATTCTCACTCTGAGGCAGGAGATGTAGTGTAGTACAAAGCGCTTAAGCTCGATAGATACACATGCAGTAGATAGTGGAATGATTCTGTCATAGATGTGGGAGCAAAAAGATATACGTAATGGGTGTGTGTCATCTGGCAATCTTGTACACATAACGAACTGGAGCATTGCTGCGTAAAGCAGGCCGTGTGCGAGACAGCTTATTCTGCTGTCCTTCTCAAGCGTGCGGAAACCATGGCTGACTTGTCTGCGAGCACTCAGAGGTAGGCATAACAAGGCTTCTTGTGTCAACAGCGCCGGAAATTTCACGATTCTCGTCTGGGTTCCCACCTATGAGAGCTTTAGTTGTTGGCATCCTCGTGGTCTTCCATCCTGACACGACTATCTAGTGAGGACTTTAAGTAAACAAATGGAAGCTACTGCAGACTCATAAACTTGGAAGGAGCAACTATGAGGGAAGAAATCAACGTTCGCAGTTTCTCGGATAGGGGAACCATGACTAGGCCTCAGCATTCGAATACTTGGAATCTGCGAGTTCATTGTAAGCTCAGCACGCTATTTTGTCGAGAAAACGCGGAAGAGAACAGAAAAAAACGTAGTTGCGTAGGGAAACATGAAATGGATCACTCCGAGATAAGTGCGCACTGTAGCGTCCATTTTACGCTTCAGAGTGAGCAGAGAAATGGTGTGTGTTTCTATGAGATGATGATTTCTCATGCTGTTTGATTTATGCTTTAGAATGCTCTACTGGGTATCCGAGTTGATACTGGTCATTTCCTCTTCATCTCTTTTCGTTATATCCTTATCTATCCACCCGCTTCAGCAACTTATTATTACAAACAATTTTTGTACGATTATTTTTAGCACAAAAGTACGGCTATTGATCATTACTCATGCATATTTTGCAAAAACTCGATAACTCTTTATCCAAAATTTCTTTTCAAGGAGCACACCTTTTTAGCGTTGACCGAGTACGGCGTACACATTGCATAAGGAAGATCTCTAAAAAGTTCTAAAGCTATTAGGTCGGTCCACAATTTTTGAGAACCTTTGGTGTTTTTCGATTTATTACTTATCTTATTTCTCTGATCTACTTATCCAGCATAGTATACATCATTATTATTAACAACATATCACCAATGCGAGGGTGGGTATTCAGTGCCTCTCTTGTGGACTTTCATAGAGTTCTGATCGAAGGAAAATTGTAGTCCCGAATCAGTTCTCAACCCAATCTGACATCATCAAGTTCCTGTTGGTTTCCCATAGTTCCTTCGGATGACCATCTATAATACTCATTGGTGATGTGGACTGGGTGCAGTGTGCTAACAAATCCACGAGCCGCAGTAGATTTGCTCAAACGATTCGGGAGTTCTGACAGTAAAAACCCAACTCCCTCTGAATTCGAACTTCCTGAGTCGTTGGCGCAATACGGGAGGGCCTTTGCGCTGAAGACCGGCATCAACTAATACCAGTGTCAGTGATGGGAAGAATCGTTGACAGCTTGATGGCAACGCCTTCAACTTGAAAGCAAAGGAAGACAAAATCTATTTTTTCTGAGGTCGTTCGAGCCCGCCTTGCTAAGAAAATTCCTAAAAAATTGGAGACTCTCGGGCGGTCAGTTCTTTTAGCTCCGCCTTGTAGCACTAATCCTGCGTCAACGAACGACTATCCGCTCTCCTCTCTCAATCACCTTCTGGAGAAGAAATCTCACTTGAATCACCATAAAGTCAAAATCGACATCCAATATTTCTTCGATCAGAACTCTATGAAATTCTACAAGAGAGACACTGGATACCCACCCTCGCATTAGTGATATGTCGTTAATA